GGAAATAGTGTCTACTCCCAGGGCAGAGAGGATCATGGGAAATAGTGCCTGACAGCCCAACAGGGCAGAGAGGCTCATGGGAAAGTGTCTATTCCCCCCGCCCCCCCCCAGCAGAGAGGGTCAGGTACACAGACACTGAGGTTCATGGGAAAGCATCCCAGACACACCCAGAGAAGAGAGGATAATGGGAAATGGTGTCTATCTCTCCAGGTTGAGAGGCTTATGAGAACGAATATCCAATCCCCAGGTTTCCACTGAGGTAGTTGAGCTCTGAAGGGAACGTGGTCTACTGGTTAGAGGGGAGTCAGGAATCCTGGGATTGGATATTGGTTGCCATAATCCTGCTTTCCAAACTCCCCTGCTCTAACCACTAGACCCCAGTCCTGTCAGAGCTTGACTATCTCAGCACACACAAGAGCAAGGCCCCTAGATTTCAGTGGACTGCTTCTGGTTTGCAATTTCTAAGCCATTCCCTCTGGTGTCTTCCTAAAGCCCTAATACCATAACAGTCAGCAGCTGCAACCTGGGAGACATTCTGTTTGCAGTAACAGGGCTTGTATCCTCTTGGCTGCAACTGCTAGATGGCAACATGATCACAAACACACAGGCGGGTCTGTGTTCAATACAGGTGCAGAGTCCTATTCTGGTCCTGCCCATTTCCCCCTCCAAGACGGACAGGCCCAGCACATCAGAGAGTGAAAATGCTATTGTCTAATGCTAGAGCAGGGGACAAAAGTAGGGAATGAAGGTAGGATGAGGAAACAAATCGCCCCAAACCAAGGCCTTGTCTACACACACATATTACACTGATTTAACTTAAATAGGTTTTTAAACTGATTTACTTAGACAAGTGCAAACCCGGTGTGGACACATTTTGGTTTAAAGAGTAGTTTATTTTCATGTATCTTAAACTGATTCCTAATCAACATCGGCCAAACCAAAACCTGGTTTAAATCAAAGCCAGCGCACCCACGTGGCCTTTTGCACCAGTTTAGTTAAATCAGTTTAAAATCACACCTTCGGTTAAAACAGCAGCAACTTTCTCATACAGACAAGACCTCAGTTAAACACGTGCAAATGTGTGTGTAAACAAGGCCCACACAAGGTAATGCCTTAATGCCAAATTGGCAGAGGGTTTGATTTGGAAATATCCAGGCCAAAAGGAACTCCAGTTCCTCCACCCTATCCCCCAAGATCCCTTCAAAACAAGGCCGCTCTCTCACTGCCCAATAGTTCCAGGGCAGTGCTCACCTAACTTAGTTCTATCTTGCAGAGTAGATGAGATCACACTGTTGGTAAATTCTGTCCCTGAATCAGGGTACAGCTTTCAGACGGCTTGGCTCTATCTACACTCCAAGATGCAAATATGTTGTAACCATCCTTGTAATGTGACAAGGCCCCCTGGGACCCTCTTCTTTTTTCTCTCTTGCCTGCACTCTCTCAACCCTTGGACCTGTCTCTGTCTGTCCCTGCCCACTCTTTCACACACATCCCAACTGCAACACAATTGCACGGATTGTAAAGTGGTGCCTGGCTATTATCAGGTGCAGATTACAGGGAACACGAGCAATAAACTCGTTTTCCTGCCTTCTTTTTCCCTCCCATTTTCAAACGGCTGCAGGAAAGGAAGAAAAACAATAACAACAACAGATGGATTTTTTTTTTTTTTTTTGGCTGCGTGGAAGGCTCAGCAGAAGCGTGAATGGAGTTCATTCTCTAAGAGCCCTTCCTGCTTCCAAGATTTTCTTCCCCAGGGTCTAATCTCTCAGGCCGACTCCTCCCCCAAACCACCCTCTCCTCTGAGACAGAACTGTGGCAGCCCATTATAGCCCTGATGAGGACTTCCAGCCACGCGAGGAAATGAATGGAGGACTGCCAACTATAGGAAGTTCTGCCTATTAGTCTTCTGAGGCTGGGAACAGGAATCAAGCACCAACTTCCTAGCAGTGGGATCCTGCCAGAAGTGCCAATACCTGCTCAGATTCAGATCACACATGCTATCCAGAGATACAGATACATATACTCTTGGACACAATCCAACTGCCCCACTCTGGCATCTCCACTTAGGATATTAACAAGCAGACTCCCCACCCTGCACTGTTGGTTTAAGATATTGACTAGAAATACTCTCTTGTACTCAAGATATTGACCTCTGTTTAGAATCCAGAAAACTACAAAGAAAACTAGTTTCTTCTTAACAAGATACTTTCTCCTTCTCCAGGGCCTTTAATCCAAGGGCCTCAAGCTTTCAGAGCAATAAGTCTTGCAACCTCCCTTATTTAAGTGTTATTAAGCTATTTTAGAGCAGGGGAAAGTGAGACATAGTGAGAGAAGTAACCTGCCCGAGGTTACACAGCTGAGTTAGTGGCAGATCTAGGAACTGAACCTAGGTGTCCTCTTTCCCAGACCCATATCACTAGACCAACTTCTCTTTACTTATGATAGTGACCAGTTAGTCCCTTCCTCTAGTGCTGTGGTTCCCTGATGGATAGTGTGGCATTTTGAGGGAATCTTCCGCCTTCTGTATGAGGCAAGGATTCCCTCCCAGAGAAGATTGGAGGGCATCTTTTCATAGATGTTCAGGCTATTCTGATGGTCTAGTGGTCTGACCTCCAAACTGACCTCCTTGGTCTTCCAATGCATGGTCTTCCCATGTGTCCCAGTCAGTCAGAATGGCTGTAGCAGTCTGATTCCTCTCCCAATAGGCAGTGATAGGCCTAAGCTACTAAATTCTGATCCAATCTAAACTTTCCTAACGTTGTGAGGTGTTCAGATGCAGGGGTTTGGTTGAGGCTCAGCTCTATCAATCAGGGGTTGAATTGACAACATCTCCTGCAGTGATGCTCGCCCAAGTTCCACCCTCAAACCAAATTCTGCCCATAGCTAAGTTCATGGAGGACAGGTCCATTAATGGCTATTAGCCAAGATGGTCAGGGACACAACCCCATGCTCCAGGTGCCCCTAAACCTCTGACTGCTAGAAGCTGGGACTGGACAACAGGGATAGCTCACTCAAAATTGCCCTGTTCTGTTCATTCCCTCTGAAGCATCTGAAACTGGCCACTGTCAGAGACAGGATACTGTGTTAGATGGACCATTGGTCTGACCCAGTATGGCCGTTGTTATGTTCTTTCGCTCATAAACCAAACTCCAGTCACTTTACTTCCAGCTCTGCATAGTCTCACCGTCTCTCTCCTTTCTCACATACCTAGATCAGCAGCAAAATGGTTAACAATGTTCACATGAAGTA